TAAAAAAGATTGAAATTCCTTATTGGTATACTCTGTACCATTATCAGATCTAAATTTTTTAATTTTCTTTGAAGTTTGATTTTCCACAAAAGCTTTAAAATCACGAAAACATTTGAATACTTCTTTCTTCGATGTCAACATATAACAGAAAACTTTTCTACTGTAGTCGTCAACAAAGATCAGAAAATATTTTGCACCTCCCCATGACTCTGTTTCAATTGGACCGGCAACATCACTATGTACTAGTTCAAGCAAATCGTTTGCTCGCTTACATTTCTTTCGATGTGGAAATTTCTTTGCACACTGCTTTCCCTGGCTGCAGGCCACACAATGAACTTTGTTATCAACCTTCCCAAAATTAATATCCTTAATCATACCTTTTAGTTTGTTCATCTGAGGATAAGATAAATGACCTAACCTCCTGTGCCACAACTCATAGTCATCCTGACTACGACTGCTATCACCTAAAAGAACTGTCGCAAACTTGTTATTATCCGGACCTAATACATATAACCCGTTTTTGCGTGGTGCTGTAAAAAGAGGTTTACCTATAACATTAACAGTATCATTAAAAACTTTACAACACTTTTTATCAAAAATAATAACCTTACCACTTTCAGCAATCTTGCTTACTGAAATCAAATTAGTTAATAACTCAGGGATAAGCAATACATTACTCATTTTCACATCTGTGGTACGTCCCTCGTGATTAATCTTCAAATCAACAGTTCCTTGTTTGTTTGAAACAATTTTGTCTTTATTTGCACAGGTAATAAATTTTGCACAAGATTTTTCTGGTTTCAAAATGTGTTCATTTGATGTCATGTGGGACGTAGCACCAGAATCTATAACCCATCTATCATTACTTTCATAATTACTAGTTAAAAAGGTTACAAACTCCTCAGAGTTGTCATTCGCAAGACAAGATTTCGGCTGAACATCAATATTATTTTTCAATTTTTTACATTGAGACTTATAATGCCCTTTCTTTTTACAACAATAACAAATTATAGGTTTTTGTATTTTCTTTTTGTCATTAGAACTCGACACTAGTACCGATTCGTCCTTGTTTTCATTCATCCCACTATACGTTGGTTGACTTTGTCGCTGCCCTTCTTTAAGTATTGCGGCGATTACGGTCTCAGACGAAATTTTTGTTCCTGAATGTTCCAAAGCCATCACTAGCGGATTATACGAATCTGTCAAACCAGCTAACATTATTATACTTAGAAATTCATCATCCAAACCAGCTTTAATCGTTACGAGTGCTTGATGTGTCGCTTGGATATCTGTAACGTACGCTTCCATACTAGGGTAGCTCTCTAGTTTCACGCTGAACAATTTTCTAAGTAATGTTAATCGACGCACCAAACCTGCATCCGCATATGCTCTCTTTAATGCTAACCAAGTTTCTTTAGCATTTTTTGCTTCAGCAATTAGTGGGTAAATTTTCTCCTCAACGCTCAGGCATATTTTGGCCCGTGCTTTAGCATCACGCTTCTGATTGTCTGCTGTCAAAACAATATTTTCTTCCTCTACGCAATTCCATAAATCATGTTCCACTAGGATCATTTGCATAGCGAATGACCATGTTCCATAGTTGGAATGACCTTTTAGTTTTGTTATGACTGACTCTTTCTGCATGATTCTAACGTTTTATTCACTCCACTTTCCTGAAAAACTACATAGGGCCTGGGCCCATAACCTGTTGTTTTTGTGGAAATATACAATGTAGCAAATAAAGGATTGTGGAGTAAACGTATAAAGTATTTTATTAATAAAAATAATATAATCCTTAATGACAGAGAAAATTTTAAAACAAAGATAATAAACAAAACAATAACATAGCAACCAAAATCATTTCTCTATGACTGGACGTATCGGTATTCAACCTTTATTTTTAACAAGAACTAAGTTCCAGCGCATACAGAATTCATGTTGTCGGTTCTGTTTCAACATACCTCCTCGATCCTATATTTCACCTTATTTAAACAACGCTCTGATGCTCAATATGGAGGCGCTTTAGCTCTGACGATGTTGAACAATAGACAGGCCATATGTATATTCCGACGAGCTTTCATTTTTATTAAATTATATTTATTTAAAAATGGAGTTACATGCGTTCTGGCTGGAATGTTGAAACAAAACCGCGCACATGCATTTTGAAACCATTGAATCTGTCGTTCCGTGCGTTTTAGAAGCCTGGGATGGTATACTGCATCCGCATAATTCAATTTAGAAATAACTAAGGATTCCACGAGCATAATACGCAAATCTTCCCCAATGTATGGCTTCATTCTGTAGATAATTTTTAATCTATAAAAACAGTTTTGAATAGCCTGAGTAATGTGTTTTTCGAAACGAAGATCAGAATCCATGATAAGGCCTAGATTTCTTGCCTCATAAACACACTCAATATTTTCACCCATTACAGTCACTTTAGTGTTCGTATAACTTAATGAATGCAATTGCCTTTTTGTACCAAATATCATAAATTTGGTTTTTGTCGGGTTGAGCACAAGTCAGTTTCTCTCTGTCCATTGCACAACTCTATCAAGATCGTCATTAAGACTCTTCAATGCCAACTCGTAATCTTCAGGTTTAAAAGATATATATATTTGGGTGTCATCTGCGTATACACGCATTTTAGTATTTCTTATACTCTCCGACAGATCCGCGCAGTATAACATATTGTTGTTAAGTTTTATTAAATATGGACGATGCCGGTGCAGGCCCGAGTGGCCTACAAAAATTACGCTCTAAGCCCCCATACCTACCCTCAACCATTGACATTTCAGGAAGTTTTTCCAATGTCTTCATAAATAGTCTAACTAATTACACTTACAATTAGAATTTATCAAAACAACAGATAGTTTTAGTTTTAGTTCCATATTGGCTTGTGAGTAAAAATTGAATTTATAAAATACTGACCTCATCTCAACCCCGAGGTATCTTAAAAAATGAAAAATTGCCCAGCTCTTTCAGACTACCTAACGTTTAAAGTTTTTAACAAAACTAATATATATTTTTTAAATTTGTCTTGAAAATAAAATGTTCTGCACTGCTGCTTCTATGACCCTCTTTTTTCTAATGTTATAATGAATGGAAAATAGTGGAGGTGCTTTATTAGTGCTTTCGATTTTTTTTTTAAATACTTCCTCATTACCATTATTATCTATACATTGCTGCCATCTAATAGAAAGGTCATTTTTGCCTTTGCGATAGAACTCTTGAGGATCTAGACTGCACAAACTATGTAAAAACATTTTGTACTGCCTCCAGGCAAGAAAACTTCTTATCACGTAGATAATTGCACAAATCAGGAAACAATGGTAGTCCGTTGGAGCAAGGTCTGGTGAATACGGAGGATGGCGAATGGTTTCTAACTGCAGTTCCTGCAGGGCTAAAATGGTTTCTCGTGCTGTATGAGGTCTCGCGTTGCCATGAAGCAATAATGGTGAAGATCGATTCATGAGTCGGGGCCGTTTTACTGCTATTTTTGTCAACATTGTTCGGAGTTCGGCACAATAGACATCTGCCGTTATTGCTTGACCAGATACCACCAGACGGAGAAAACTATAGTGAATAACACCATGCTGAGACCACCAAACAGTTATCATTATCTTTTTATTGGTAAGTTTTGCTTTAGGAGACTGTTGTAGCCACAGAAATATATTCTGTGGTTGTAGCGTTTGACCTGGGGTCAGCCATTGCATTTTTCTTTTACGGTTATCATAAAGAATCCACTTTTCAACACATGTCGCAATTCGATCTAATATTCCTTCATTTCTGTACCAATTCAACAAGGCAAAACAAGTTTCAACACGCGTTTCTTTCTGCAGATCAGTCAAATCATGAGGCACCTATTTTTCGTATTTTTTATTCTATTGATTTGACGCAAATGAGTCAATATTGTGGGTAAGGTAATGATAAACCATGCCCCTAATTCCTGGGTAGTTTGACTAGGATCGGCTTCCATCTCTCTTAGCCATCGTTATTCACCTGTGTGGCGACTGATATGTAGCGACATCTAATTCATCGCACTGACATCGCCACAACAATCGACATCGAGAACACTAGCATCGTCAAAGCAATCGAAAGCAAGACGAACTGTATGAAGTTTCAATACTCAGTAACGAGATGGCGCTGTTCGAATACAAAGATTATTAATTCAAGGCATTTAAAACAAAGAAACCTACATCGCAAAGAATAAGTTCCATTACTAATTAACATTAATAGAACGTCCAACCTACATCGGTTGGACCGCGGTCCCCGGACTAACTACACCTAGCTCGGAGGGAAACAATTATCCTTTAGTCTTCTTTGCCAGTTGTTTGCCAACCTTTCACTTTACGGTTCCTACAGTGGTGACCCCAGCAGAACATCAGCAACCTTCAGCATATCACAACGCAGCCATCACTCTATGTCAGCTTTTATACGCCACGTCACACGATCCCTCGCCCCGCGTCTCAGTCCCTTTCCCTTTCCCTCTCGGCACTTTCCCCTTCCATTGTAAATATTGTAGCTTTTTTGTAATTGGTTTAGAATGTACATTTCTCATTGGTTAAGTTTGTATTTATAATTTTAAGAAATTTTAATTGGTTAATATTATATTACGTTTTAGTATAAGTAGCTGTAAAATTTGTAAATAAAACATTTCATCCTTCTACTTTACACGGAGTTTTACTACCCGACGACAAGCACACTTACGACCCGATCAGAGTTGCCAAAACCCCTTGCCAAACGCAATATAGATATTGCGGGCTGTTTCTGCCGCGTTACTTCCGCGTCGGAACTCGTATTCAAAAATTACTCAAATTTTCGCAAAATCCATTTTTTGTCTAAGTTGAATAACAAAAACAATTGAAAGTCGATATTCAAATGTTTCACATTTTTTAAAAGAAGAACATTGTTTCACCACATTCGACAATATGGACTTGATAGAAAATCCCTCTGTCTTTGCTCGCAAACAAAAAAAATATATAAAATGACATTTCCGCAGTCCTTCATGAATTAATTTTAAGACTTTTTATGCAAAAATTATTTCATTTTCCGTTTGTTTTAGTTTAAACAAGTGTTACATTCAATATACTTCAGTTCCTCTTGTTATTCTATACTGTCAGTGCATCAAACTAAGTGTCCTAATGAACTTACGCCCCTGAAAATCAGTTTCACAAAATCTAAAGTCAGCATAGCAACAGCACTTCGATACATAAAGTTTCTATTTTAGGGAGTATTGGAAACTATTTTCCATAAGGGTGCTTTTAAAAGGTAAGTTCATACTTTTTAAATTAAATCGATACGAATATTCTTCAAAAAATTAATTATAAATGTTATTGCTATGTGTATGTGCGGTCGTTTAAGTACATACATACATACATGTTGCTGTATTGTATATGATACAAAATCATAAATCGAGTAGATGTTATCGGTAGTATTTCTCACGTTTTTCGAAAAGTTTTATTTCCAAAAAGAATTGGAAGTTTTGTATATTTATTATCTATATAAGTATACGAAATTTGATAGTGAAAATGCACTATTGCTTTTTCATTGCCACTAAGAAATACAGTTGTCAAGAAGAATAGAGGCACAATTGTACAATAAGCACAGTTGAGCCTAGGAGAAGGAAAGAAAAAAATCTATTCATATAAATATTTACAGTTAAATTTTGTTTAAAAATATATTTGGTCCACCTGTACATGATTTTCCCTGAATCTTCAAAAAACATAATCATGTATGGTACTTCTCCAAAATGTTAATTTGGTACATTATACCACCTCCATCTTTTAGTTTTATAACCATACCATAACTTTGTCATGGTCACATAAACAGGGACATATGGTTTTATAGTATGTAACAAATAATATAATACTCAATGTATTAATAAATATCATAAATCTATCATCACCTTTTAGTTTGTAGGTCAGGTTGTTCTCTAACTTAAACCCCCTTTTTATATGCCTCTTTTTCTCTATTGTAAAGACTAACCTTTAAGAGCCACCTTTCTTTATATTGGCCTACCTTAAGGTTTGCTGTTTTATTTTTTTATATTGTGTTTTTACTTACTCTTTATCTGATGACCTATAAACCCCATAGTATATGGTTAAAAGGAATTTATAATAATACTTTTTATAAAATCAACTACACATTTACACCAAATTGTAACTGAATATGCTGTTTTATGATTCAACATTTCTCAACAATTTGTCAAATTCAAGAAACACAATTTTGATTTTTTTTAAAACATCTTGGTTAAAAAACTGATAAAATATACTGCAATAATATCTGTTATTGTTAAAAAGAATTGAAGTTTGCAATTATTGGCCGATGTTGATCAGTTTCAACCCATTATTTATGTATGTGAAATATAAAATAAATAGTAACAAATAAGCTTTCTAATGTTTCTTAGGTTTTCATATTGTTCCTTTAGTTGTATCAGATTTTACATAATACAAGTGCTATAGCTACTTTGCGATCTGAGTGATGTATGTTATGTTGTTCATATTAAATATGTATCTAATCTTATGTTAAGTTCTTTGAAAATTTAGGATCAATGTTAAAATCCACTATGATATGTTTATTATTGCAACTAAAACTGGAAGGATCATGATTTAATTTTAGAAGTTATTAAAAAAGTTAAAAACTATGATGTTAAAGGACAAGTAACATCATTACAAAGTGAATAGATACAGGATGTAGCATAGATTATTAGTGATATGTAGTATAATCCTTTTTATGGGAAATATTTACACAATTATTATACTTTTTCTTTTTGTATGGAAGTTAGTACTTTATTCAAATTATCTCTAACCAAGCATAAAGTATATATTAATCAATAGAGGGTAAATAAACCTTACACATGTTCATTTTATTTTATTTTTAGGTGCCACCAAAATGTTTAGTTTCTGATTTGAACATCATTTGGTGGATAATTTATAATTAATATAGCAACACATAAGTGCAATAAAAAAATCTATGGCAGCCCCATCCCTAAGTTACGTTCCAATTCGTGCTGTGAATTAACCTATTTGGACAATGTGTAATCATTATTTTTATTTTCTATTAATTATTGATATTTAGATATCTAAATGTCAAATACAGAGATATTTTAATTAAATGGAAGCTTGTCGACGCAGATTAGGCCTGATTTGAGTCTATTTGGTGCGTAGCATATAACATATAATAAATACATAGTTAACAAATTATCAATTCGATTTTCACTATATTATTTGTCCACTGGGGACGTTAAGTTGTAATAAAGTGCTATGGGGTAATATCCAGTAAGACAGGCAAATCCTAAATGTGACGAATTAACAACAAATCAGGCATTTGTTGTCGGTTAAGTTGACTATTAAACAAGCTTTCAAAAGATAAAAAACTTTTAATTATAACAAACATACCTATTGTTTTTTGTTTAATAACATTATCGGAATTTCTTCGCTTTCATAATTACCCCAAAGTACGCTACCGAAGTTTAGGCAGTAGACAAAGATCCCTTTGCCTTTGTTTTAATTTGAGGCATTTTCTTTTTTAAATTGCGTTTTATGGTTGTGCATATTAGTGTTTCTAGGCAAAACGTACCAATTTTATTAACTTAATTCTCTAAAACGGGGGAACTTTCAGGCCTGAAACTTTGATAAAAGATAGAGGATTGCGTCTAGGTGCTATGATAATTTTCTTTGTAGTGGTTAGATTTTTTCGAAATAAAGTACCAAAAAAAACATTCTCCTCTATGGTTACATATGTGAAATGATTATTTATTATTTACTGGGAGTGATTGTTTCAAAGATTTTAATATATGGTTGCCATCATTTAATGAAGAATTCAATAGGTACAGAGATACAATACACCTTCTAGTGGTAAGCAGTAGAGATAAAGACACATTCTATAGGTGTAAAGCTTCATGCTCTTGTCTATACTCTTGATTACTGTTCATATTTTTCTTATCCTTCCTTCATAACATCAAGTAGTCCCCCTCTTCCCTGAGTCATAGACTAGTGATGGCCGTAATTCCTTTTGTAATATTTTTACATAGAAGATTAAATAAGATGGTTCATTAATATCAATGAAAGAATCATAAAAAGTTATATAGAACACTCCATACATTGTTCAGATCCCAAATAAAGTAGCACTTGTGTTATGGTAATCAAAATAATGAAGTTATCATAACACTTAGTCCTATACACGATACAATATATAAAAGTTAATTTTCTGCATTGACGCAACCATAAATCAATCCTGGGATTTCAGATCACATCCACGCCACTCAGCCACGGAGGCCGCCATATTTATATTTATATACTAAGATCAAATATACTTAACGACATCATGGACTATTATTGATACGGATATTGTTGATTGATGTGTATTGTGTTGTTGAATATTGTTAACACATGTTTTTAAAGTCATCATAACGTATGTTCGTATACCAACAATATTTTTTGTAGGCATTAGAATAACCCCTGGTAGAAAACAAATAGCAATAACACATATTTAGGCCATCAAATTTTGATGTGAAATATTTTTGTTGTTCATTTTTTTGACGATAATAAAGTTCAGTACTTATTGTTATATATATTATTTAGAAACTAATACTACTTCGTTTTTTTTTTTTCAGATACATATTAAGAATATGTGTAATAACAAGTGAATTAAGAGGAGCGAAACGTAAATATCGAAGTAGGTAAGATATCGTAGATAACGTGGTGCTTTTTATTTATTGTAAGATGATTACTCGAAGATGGTTCCACCCATCACTAAATGGTCTAGATGCCGAAAAATTGTTAATGGAGTGTGGTCGCGATGGATATTTCTTAGCGAGACCCAGTATGAGTAACAAAGGTGACTTTACCCTGTCAGTGCGACGTGGCAATGAAGTAACGCACATTAAAATTCAAAATAATGGAGAATTCCTTGACCTTTACGGTGGGGAAAAGTTCGCTACTCTCTCGGAACTCGTCCAGTTTTACATGGACAATCAAGGTCAGTTACGTGAGAAAAACGGAAATATTATTAGATTAAAAACCCCTCTTAATTGTGCTGACCCTACAACAGAACGTTGGTACCACGGTCAACTTACAGCAAAAGAAGCTGAAAGAATGATGTTAGAAAACGGTAAGAATGGTTCATTCCTTGTTCGCGAATCCCAGAGGCAACCCGGAGATTTTGTACTGTCGGTAAGGACCCGTGATCGCGTTACGCATGTCATTATTCGACGACAAGACAATAAATATGATGTTGGCGGCGGACAACAATTTCCCGATCTCGTTAGTCTCGTAGAACACTACCGGAATTATCCATTGGTAGAGACCACAGGTGATGTATTGAGGCTTATCCAGCCTTTCAACGCGACTCGAATCCAAGTCCGGCATTTCAAAACCCGTGTGAAACAATTGCAAAAAGAAAACGAGGGTCCGATTGAAAGTATGGCATATAAACAAGGTTTTTGGGAGGAATTTGAAACATTGCAGATGATGGAAAACTTACAATTATTTGATAGAATGGAGGGGTCGAAACCTGAAAATATTAGGAAAAATAGATATAAAAACATTATACCATTCGATCACACGCGGGTCATATTACGAGATATTCCTGTCGATGCTCCTCCTGGTTCCGATTATATAAATGCTAACTACATTCGATGCGATATCACGGATTTCATGTTTGATCAAGATTCAAATGGGAGTAATGAAAATGGTTCTCCACAAACGAGAGATGGTACGCCATCGAGAACTAAGGATAAATCTTCACCAATCCATGCAACAGTAATAGTTACTGAAGAACCTGTCAGCGAAGGAACAGATAGTAAAGTCGGTAATGGTGTCCAAAAACTTTCACCCTCATATGAACCAAGTGTTCTTCGCTCAAATCCAAATTATGTGAATACGACGATTCCGAAATCGGTTGTGGAAGCAGAGCCTACTGTAGCAGATAATGTCTACAATAAAATTTACATTGCCACTCAAGGGTGCCTGTCGACCACGGTATATCAATTTTGGTCCATGATTTGGCAAGAAGATGTACGTATAATTATAATGACCACTAAAGAAATAGAACGAGGAAAAGTAAAATGTGAAAGGTATTGGCCCGAGTTAAATAAAACCGAAGTCATAAAGAAATACACAATTACTAACGAGTCCGAATCTTCTACACAAGATTACACCTTGCGACGTTTTCAGGTCATAAAAAAGGACGAATGTAACACAAAAAGAACTATTTATCACTTCCATTTTACTGCATGGCCCGATCACGGTGTGCCTTCAGAACCTGGACGTGTTTTGAATATATTGCTAGACGTCAATTACAGACTGCAGCAAATAATGACAAGTGAAGATCCACCGGCCCAGGCAGTGGTATGCGTCCACTGCTCCGCCGGCATAGGCCGAACTGGAACGTTCATTGTCATTGATATGATCTTGGACCAAATACGTAAGGAAGGTTTCGATTGCGAAATTGACATACACCGTACAGTCCAAATGGTCCGAGACCAGCGATCTGGCATGGTACAGAATGAAGCGCAGTATAAATTCATTTACATGGCAGTGTTAGAATTTATTGAAACAGTAAAGCAACGAATTGGATTAGGACCAGAACCCACCCAAGACTCGCCACGAGCAAGGACTCACCCTGTCCCTTTTTTATGAGTCATGCTAAAAGGTTTACGAAGTTTTTATCAAAAACTTTACCTAATGGACACTCTGTAGGGCGTTCCAGTAGTAAACCTTAAATTCAGTGTATTCAGCAGCAGTGGATAAACACTTGTGAACATTAATGTTGTGATTTATACCAGCAAGGAACAAATTTATTTAAAATAATGGGTGGTATTTCTATAAGATGTATGTATCAATATTCGAGGTACTAATTAAGCATAAGACAGATTTAGTATAGAAACAAGTGCCGAATATTAGTATCCACGTTTTAAAGAGCTTTGTAAGATCGCGTGAAAAAAAATTGGATTAGCATCTCAAAGATTGTTTTAAAGTCCAATAAAAAACGCGATCACGATCCGCTACGTCAGCAGTACTAGTAAAATAGGAACCTAAGTTAAATAAGTCATCTACACTCTAGTACTGTAAAGGAGTCTTTCTTAATTAGCTATAGCTATGTATGATAACTCTAATGGAGGTAATCATTTTATGAGTACAGTCAGATCTATAAATATATAATTATACATATGTATACACTTTTGATAGTGTATCACGCCTATTCCAAAAACAATACATGATGAAACTGTCAAAACTGTATATGTACTATTAGTGTAGAATAATATAATTTTTTATTACGTAAAATGAAATAATGTTAAAAACTTTTCATTTATCTACTTATAAAAAATATTTTATTTATATCTCGTTACATCAAATGTTTAACGCTGTGTATTATTTATAGTATAATAAATTGTGAGGCACTATTTAGGATTCCTATTGGCAGTGTCTCGATGTTAATGATATCATATTTTTCCAAAAAAAAAACGATATGAATAAATTGTGTAAATAAATTGAAATTAAGTATAGTTGTTGTTAAAAAGAGAAGTAATTGTTAGAAATTATAAAAACAGTTATGTTTATAAATTATTCACTGCAACATAGCGACCTGATAATGTTTCAAATTTTGCTTTAAATTTGTACTACATGAGGTCAGGAGATTGACTTCAATGTGATCTCGTCAAAGTTATGATTATTATGTTACTAGCAATTCGTAAATATTCCACATTTTATGTAGCTGGTTGTATGTGTTATAACAGTTTTAAAACAAGTGCATCTAATGTAAAAAATACATTCCCTGATAAGTAGTTACTTTTGTAAAACTAAGCCAGGGGATGTACAGATGCGTTCCGCATTTCAAAAAATTATGTCAATTGATGATTTAGCCATTCAACAAACAATTCAAAATCGTACAGGAAAATTTAGCTAAAAATACTTAACTCTGATAAATACGCATAGTCAGTACTTACGTAGATTTAAAACGCTTATTACACTGTCCTTGGCGAGTTTTTATCTTAAAAATTCACATATATAATATTTGTTCTGAAGAGCAACATAATTATGTAAATACTAGCTTTCCACTAGCAGCTTAGCCCGCATGTATAAGATAATTTTCTTTCATACAAAGTTTCAACCCCTATTTCACTTGTATAATTGTAGAATTCCTTTTTCATCTATAAAATACTTATCTGCGCGTTTCGCAAAATTATGCCAATGTCAAGTCTCAATCGTTGAAAAACAGGTATTATTTACTCATTAATTATTATGATTAGAAAAATAAAGTTTCATGTTTCAAACTTTCCCCCTTCCAAATTAAATAACCACAATCGCTGAAATAGTTATTTACTATTTTTAATAAGAAGCACAAAAATAAAATGTCATATTTCTAACTAAACTGACCCCTATATCACACCTACACTATTTTTACGTTATAATCTAAAAAATAAAGTTTTATGTTTCTAAATAACTTCAAAACTGACGGACATTTGTACAAACTGTTAACACCTATTAGTTTTGCTTTAAGGGTTGAATTTCCGATAATCCCTTCTTAGTCACTTACTAATGTCTATAAGGTCTGTTTGGTGCAACTTCAATTTTTTATGGTCTCCGATGATGATTCAATGAAACGCGACAGGTTCTTTGATAAGTATAGATTGTGCAATTCCAACAAGAGTGTAGGTATCGCATGAGCTCGTTAATCACATATTTAAGATCTCATCTCTAGAATAGCAGTCTAAACGGCGACGAATATTAGGTACACTCATAGCGACTAAATAATCGGGTCCTGCTAATCAAAGCATGAAGCGTTTTCGGGACTTAGTAATAAGCGCTTTAAAGTTCTTCACAACATGTTTGTTTGGCCATATTTTCTATTATTAATCTATATGCTCATAGTTACAGTAAAAATTTAGCGTTTACAAATATTATTGTGGGTAAGATGTAACAATTTCTTTTATCTTGTCAATATTTCAATTTAAGGTGCTTTTACGTAAATTATATCTGGCCCATATATTTAATTGGCCAATGGTGCGATATTTTAAGTTTCTGTTTGTTTGCATTTAAGTTTTATTAGAATCACATTCACATTCACATCTTACCATGGGTACTTTACACTATACAATAGCTAATAATAAACGGTGGCGGCCTTGACCAGTTTGCAATGATAAACAATGAAAAAGTTCAAAACATATTTTGCAATGTACATTCGGGAAACCCGATCTGTAGGAGGTTCTTATTTATTGCACAAATATATTTCTAACTGAATCAAATTTGATATTTTTTATAAAGTCAACACAAATTTTTATACCATACTTATTGCTTTAATTTGAACTAAAGATAAAGTTTTATATAGGTTTGTTTTATACTATACTAGCAAGGCCCTAGGCGGTTACCTTGTTCGCCACCTCCTCGGGCCGCCACTGTTTAGTAAAAGCGAGTTATCAATATCTAATTGGATTTATAGATATTAGCTTATTTATAATTATAAATAATAATGTATGATATTAAAAAGATAATAGTATCTTGTTCAAAACTATTATATCATTCATGTTTTTCTACCGAACAAAGTTGATCTGTTAAAAGGAAATATTTACCTATAATAGGTAATTATTTTATTGGAAGCGCAAATTAATTAAATAACCACTTATTCTGTTTCAAAAGGCAATCCTCTGTACTATTTGTTTCATATTTGAAAAAAGGAAGTATTTAAAAAAGAGTAGGTAGTTCTCAAAATTGAAATAGATGTTACTAGATAACCATTTTGTAACTAACATTTTTACAGAGGTCAATCAAATTATCTATGAGAATGAGATTTTCTTTTTGAAGTAGTGTTTGTTAGTTCTTCGTGTTAAAAAACGGAAATGACTGTATTTTGTCCATTTTAACGTAATAATTTCATTTTATAAAAATGTGTCGAACATAAGAAGTATCGCGATCTAGTGGTATTTATTTTATTAATTTTAAATTATTCCTTGTTAAAACATTATTTTTTTTATATATTAAAAAACCTAAGATTGCTTCACATACTAATGTTTCTATAAATTATTTTAAAAAGTCTAAAAATAAATAATTATATTTTTGTTATTTTTGCAATAGGGTATCATTTACTGTCACAAAATTGTTGATACCAACATATGTTTTTAATTAACTGATATAGCGTAGCTCTCGTTTTGTAAATTGAGAAAAAAAAATCAATTAATTCATAAAACCTGCCAGCCTCAATGAGCTGCTTGACTTAAAAAAAATAATACCTAAACTTTAATTTTGAACGGCCAACTTGAATAATATATACGTCAAGCGTAAGACTATTACGTAGGTGCATATTTGAGAATCGGGGAGTGATACAAATTTTTTTTATTTGCTACTAAAAGTGAACGATTATTTCCGAACTCATATATGTTGTCGTTTTCAAATAAATAAAATTTGTAAATACAAAAAAAATTAACATTTTACTTAAAACTACAATTCAATATCTCTAATAGACGTCATAAATATAATATACAACGTAACCAGCTGAAATATATAATATCCCATTTGGACATGATTATTGAGAAAATCCATGAAATATTTGTGATTTTCTATTTGAGTAACAAACAATAGCACGGCTGAGGAGAAAAGAGAATAAATGTTGTTATTGTTGTCACATACAAGATTTAATCCTGAATTTACTTATTATTTAAGGTAATGGTAACCTTTATAAAAACTGTAGCATTAATAAACACGTTTATTTGACACCATCATCTATAATGAATTATTATTTTTATATTGTTTTAATTGTAATAACTCATCATAATAAAAAATCAAATTAAAGATGTTTTTAAAATTTATGGTGCAATTTGACTATTATTTAGTGCCTATAGACGTACGGACCAACGAACTGCATCGCTGGTTCTTATTCTTATGACAATGAGAGCGAGCGAAGTCCATCTTTTACGTTCACTGGTAAAGTTTTTACGTTGAAGTTGAAAGATTACCGAGTTTATGTACCATATAGATTTTAAATTCGTACCCCCATCTGCCACTCGTGGGGGGACCACGAGTTTAATTCTCTCTAAACTCCATATATCGGCCGCCGTAAATTGAGTGTTAGATTTGAATAAATGTGCTAAGATTAGAATAAATTAGCATGCAAAATGTTATTTTTTTATTATAACTTTGATTTTATTTAAGAAATCTCCCCTTTTAATTATTTGAAAAACTAAATTACGGTTCTCTATATGGCAGAAACAGACGAAGCCGTCACTTATTTGGCATAACACAACTTAGCATAATTGTCTTTTGACAAATACTTGTAAGTCAAATTATTTTGCATAATTATTGATTGGCTTAATGTTTGTATCCGAATCAACTGTGGCATACTATTGAGACGGCAAATTTTCTTTTGGCATAATTACCTTATGGCAAAGTTTTATTTAGTTTACAAAAAAACAACCTATCGGTTAGTTACATTATAATATGACGATAATAAAAAGCTACACTAGCGAGCGGTGGGCACCATTTATTTTGTTATGCCAACAGACTTGGGAACTTTCTGAACATTCTACTTATTAATTACTATACATATTAAATCTATGCTTATGATTCTTCTGACTTTCAAAGTAATGAATTTGGAATCTATACTCTATGAATATGACTTTCTACGAAATAAGTTTATAATGCCATTCGCTGCTTTGCATAATAATATAAAAAAATCTGTCATAAAGTGTGGACAGTCTAAATTAGAAGTTGTAATACTTTAGGTAGGTGCATAACTAAACATATACAATCTGTGAAGTAATCATTAGTTTGGACATTCTTCAGATATTTTACGTTGTTAGCATTTTATTTATAATATCAGTTTATAAAACTGTGCTTATGTACCACGTGGTAAAATAGAAAGTAATATATTATCTGCTAAAGATATATGTTGTGTTACTATATATACTTAATAAAATGTGATACCTATTTAATTTCCGAGTTATCAATCAGAGGACCCCTTCATGTTTCGTATAGTTAGTTTTTATTTTCTTAAAATTGAACGTAGCATGGGTAATATTTCTGAAATCCGATTGCCAATAGTATCTCTATGTAGGTACATATTCTGATAATAGTAGAGATGCGTCGAATGTTGGTTTCACCAAAGAATAGATACGTCCTGTATTCGGGACAGTATTCGGTTTAAGTTTAACCAAACCGAATATTGGGCCTCATTACATACGTCTTTATCTGGGCCGTCATTACCCGGGGGTGCAAGGGGTGCGGTGCACCCGGGCGCGCTGCGCCCGGTGGCCCTGATATTTCATAGAACTTAACGTCATTACACCAGGCCCGTCTTTACCCATGGTGCAGGGGATGCAATGTACCCGGGCGTCGCGCCAATGATGATCTAATCTTGTAGTACCTACTAATCGATGACTTCGGTTATGCGCCCCAAAGTTGTAATTTTATTTCAAATATTTTAATATTTTTCAATCGCTGACGCTGAACAACGAATCTTGAAATATTTATTAATTTTTGTTTTTTTTAATATAAATACCTTTTCCCTGTAATGAGGGGGGGGGGGGATCAATTCTTGCACCCGGGCGCCTTAAGACTGGCCTGCACGTGTAGCATGACAAACTCGAAAAACGCTAAAAAAGTGACATTTGTGTGTAGACAAAACTTTCACGAGTTCGTCATGCTACGCTTGCAGGTCTTTATGAGGACATACAGAGGTAAAACTAAAAAGTAAAATATAATAAAAATAGTTTTTAAAACAAGCTTTTATTTGTACGCACTAAAACGAAAATAAATAATTAATTTCTAAACATTTAAAGTACTTATAATCAAAAAATTTACTTGAAAAGCTTGTAGCGCGTAAAAATTACGTGTATTTCCTTGTCTCCGATTTCATTAGCGCTACAAGCTTTTCAAGTCATTAATTGTTAAAGAAAATTTTGATTATAAGTACTTTAAATATTTAGAAATTAATTATTTATTTACGTTTTAGTGCGCACAAATAAAAGTGTATTTTGAAGTCATTTTTTTTTTATTATATTATAATATTTTAATAATGTCTCTCTGTCTATTTACGTCTCAATTATAAGTTCTTTTATTGTCCATTTGCCTCTTTAAGTGTATTCTATAAAAATTAAAAATGTCTATTTGCTTTAAAAAGAATAATGTTAATTTAATTCAAGTTTATAAATGAATTTTGTTTAAAATAAATGACTATAGTTTATAAAATAAATATTTATGGTTTCATAGGACTTTTTTTTTTACTTATATTAAAAACATAAATCTTACATTTCATAGTTTTGTTTTCAAGTTCTATATCGTGTCAAGTAACCAAGAAAATATAGAAATAACCTTATATTTTTGACACCAAAACCAAATAATTCGGCCCAATAAAAATAGTGAAAAAGAGGCTGAACATGCCAAATTCTGAATCTTCGGCGCACCTCTACTTAATAGTATTACCTCGAAGAATTAGGTACGGTTGGATACATTTTTTTTTATAACGCAGGGGAAAAACCACCTTAAACCAGAGCTCCGACCTCGCACCTGTCCTAAAAGGGGCAGGCTTAAGCGAGACCGGCCTACCTTGTAAAACCCACTGTGAGACAATCCCTCCGGGGACAAAGGACCAGTATTCCTGAATTTTCTGACGTGCTAGCAGCTAATTCGGGCCATTTTTACGAAACTAGTGGCATGAAATTATTTTGAATTGTATTTATTTCACTAGCAATTTCATGTGTAAACGTCACCTTTTATAACGCATTAGTTTGGCGACACTGGAGTCACTTAAAGAAGTTTCATGAAACAGATTTCAGCACATGTGAAACTATAAATAATTTTGTGATGACGTGAAATCAACAGTATTTCTGAGACTCCGTCAGCATTTTCGCTATTTAAAAGGTGATGAAGTTAGTTGCGTGACACTAATATCATTAAAAATAATATGTATGACACGAAGCTACTCTAGTTTCATAAAGCTATTGCATGCATTGTGAAACTGGATGTTTACAACGTGAAACACTAGTGAAATTGTATAAAACTAATTTCATGTAAATAATTTCGCCTTGACACGCTATGGACACTTTTGGCTACGAAATATTCATACGTCAATGTTGTTTTCATTAGTTCACACAAAACCTCCTCAATTTAAATTCAAAAACAACAGCTGTGAGTTTAAAAGACAACCAAGCAATGATTCATATTGTTTTTAGTTTATTTACGAGAAGAATCGTTTAATTATTCCATCATTATATCAGCCGAGAGGCCCCACTGCTGGGCATAGGCCTCCCCCAAAGATCTCAAATTATTCCATACTAATATTAAACATGCAAAGTAGGTATGTGTACGTCTGTTACACTCACACGCCCATAACCCACAGCCATAAAGTAACTTACCCACAGCGGTCAGAGGACTCCTGACATATATTATTTCGCAATTAGTAAAAATAATTGAATATCCGATGAATTTGCCATGGGCCTCAAAGGGTATAGTTACACCACTGTTTCAGACTTATAAATACAGGCATTTACTAGAAATTTCAGGTTTTCCCTGTAATATGAAGGCGAAGGAACTATGCGCATAGTAAGTATTTTTATTTTTTCTTAAAATTTAATGCTTATGTTCACATCAAACACAATAATTATTTCACACTTGATTTTAAATATTTAAATAAAGACACTAACAGCTTAAAAATCGCAGCTTTTCATATACATGATAAACATCGGATATTTTGGTATTTATTATATACCAAAATAATAAATACCAAAATAAATATAATAAATATAGAACATTCTCTATCATACATAACGTACATAGTTAAAATATATTACGATTAGTTCCCAAAATCAAACTAGATGTCGCTACGGAACTTTCTTGATTTCTCTATGATGACCCTTCGGTTTTCTTTCGTGTATAAAAGTAAATTAATTTTCAAAACTCGATATACAACTCATATTCTATTTGTACTATTGGAACTTTGCAAATTACAGTTTTTTAGTGTTAGTTAAAAGGAACGAAAATGACTATCTTTGGTCCATTTGTTTCCTGCAAAAATCAACTTTTGGTAGAGTCGCTATCTAGTGAGGTGCTTATAAAAAACATTATAAAAACCCAATAGAAGTTCTACTGTATTGACAAATTCTGATTTTTGATACCAACAAGAAATAATAATTAGTTTGCATGCGCAACAAAATTAAATAATATTCTTGACTTTTGTATAGCCTTATGGTCTTATTTCCTTAAAATAATTTTTAAGAGTATAATTGATTTAGAACTTTCAATGCAAAATCATATTAATTGGAGTAACAGCAGCTTTTTTATCTCATACAAATATAGGCAAGTAGCTTAAGAAATAGATAATTTCCATATGTAAATGCTCTTAAATTTTAAACTGAAATTTTGATCCTAATTTAGTTAGTTTAACAAATGATCTTTTTTTGGCATGTGTTAACATAGGCAGTAAGTAAATAAAATGCTAAGACCAGCAAAACCTATTTATTGGCAGTAATTTGAGTGGTGTGTACCTACAGCATAACCCAACTTTAGATTTAGTTAGAGAGGAATAAAATTTTGTCCATATCATACAGCATGTCCATATCACTTATTTGAAATCCAGGAAAATCACCAAGCAAAGTTATGGAATTTTATACACTGAATTAGTCTCTGACATTTTATTTAATCATCATTGTTGACTTGAATTTCTTCAATACCATCTGTTTCAGTAACTAAAGCTCTTTCAAGAATTACACGCCCCTCTTTATATCTGAAATTTTAATATCACAATAAGGTAAGTATTGAGTTTATAACTGAACTCTTAAGCAAAACTTAATTTATCTTTTATTATTATTTGGATACACATTTAGCAAACCTTTGATTCTCTTCAGTAGCAAATTCATACACCCATCCTAGTTTTGTGGCGCAATTTTTGCAAGAAACATCTCGTACCATATGTCGACCTGTAAGCATCACGCGATCCTGGACTTCAGAATATATCAGGTTCACCACTTTGTGGAACAAGAATGCTCGACCTGTCGAAAAATACTATGTTCAGTCCGAATAGATAGTTTAAGTACCTTTAGTTCATAATTGAAACTTGTAGTAGTTATAACCACACCGATCAGCATTATTCTTGAAATATCAATAAAAGAAAACAATAGCTTTTTACCTGTGGCTCCCGTAAATCTGGTACTGATTAACTCTGAACGATTTGTTAGATTGACATCACACGCTGCACATGAAAATAGGCGAGTACCACCAATGTGATCCAGAAATATTTTGCCCATTATCAGATTACCTTTTTTTCTACAAAAATAAAGAAATTATACAAACTGCGCTACTAAGCAACCAGCAACAACCTGTTTCCGTATTATTCTTCTTCTTCTTCTTCACAAATGCAACAACACAACAAAGCTAGTTCTTTTTCTTTTATTTATGGCCACAGTAGAGATGCTCGATATTCGTCGATGTTTAATAAACATCGATGTTCAGCTAGAAAACAACGATGTTTTAACATCGATAACATCAGCACATCGATGTTTTCTAGCCAAACATCGCTCTTTATGAATAAAATATCAATACATTCTTAGGGTCATCTAACGTGCTGTAAATGTACTAGCTAGATGATCTCATATATCATGTTTAACTATTTTCCACTAGATGTCACCGGTTGAACTCGTAACTAGAGTAACCAAACAAATAGTCTTTTCTTTGCTTGCATTTTCCAAGAAGGTTAAAAATAAATCTGTCGACTTCAGCGCTCTTTTGTACCCTATAATTAACCGATAACGTCCTTCAATGACTGTTATGATTTTTTAGGGTATTTTGAGAACAAAACTTAATAAGTTGCCCTTAAGAAGATTATGATGTAACTGCTTGCTTTGATGGTATAAAAATTCAAGATGTTGGCTGTATAAGCTTGTGCCCCTTAGTCTTTACATAATTAGAAGATCTTTATCTTTGTCAGAGACTAATGCGCGCTATTCTATGTTTTTATGTAATGAAAGATCTTAAATAAAATAAAAGCTCATTCGTCATTTGTAAATGCATTTATTTTAACATGGTGGCAGCGGTGATTCTTTTAGAAAACAAAGTTATCTAAAAAATCTGTAATCATGTCCACTACGCTCGAAGATGTACTACAGCAACAGTCGCAAATTCTGCTGGCGCTTCAGCAACAGTTACAAATGTTAGCCATCAAAAATAATGATACTGGCGCTACTAATAACTTGCATATACCGTGGCCAACACATCTGGACGTCAATAACGATCCGGATGAATCGTTTTGCATGTTTGAATCCTCATGGCGTAATTATTGCAAAGCCACAAAAATGGATACCTGGCCGCTCGACCAAGAACCTAGAAAAGTATCGATACTCTTCAGTGCCATTGGAGAAGAAGCCATTAAAAAGTACAACAGATTTGGTATAAAAATTGATGACAAATACACTTGTGCAGAAGTTAGAAAAAATGGTTTCCAAAAAGAATATCATCCATAATAGATATATATTCCATTGCAAAAATCAAGAAGAAGAACCATTTGACATCTATTTTGCAGAGATTTCAAGATTAGTACATGAGTGCAAATATAGAGACATCGAAATGACCGAGGAAATGTTGAGGGATAAGATAGTCTTTGGAGTAAAGAATAGAAAAGTAAAAAAAGAATTGTTGAAAAGAGATAACTTGACACTACAAGATGCCATTAATATTTGCAAAGCTTCAGAAGCAACAGAAAAACAATTGAAAAGTTTTCCAAACAGTGAAGACCAAGTAAAGAAAATTAAAGAAAAAAAGAGAAAATCCAGTCCAGAGAGAAAAAACAGGAAGAATAAGTGTAAATTTTGTGGTGCCATCCATGAATTTATAAAAGGAGCATGTCCAGCCTGGGGGAAAATATGTTCGACCTGTAAAGGGAGAAATCACACAGAAAAAGTGTGCAAGAAAAAGGTCAAAGAAATAAAAAATACTCCCCAACAGACATCTTCACTGCCACAGTCAGCTGCAGACTCTGATTCTGATTGTGAAGATAACATTATTATCAATAAAATCACCAATCATCAAAAGAAAAATTTAGCAGAGTGTTCCTTGAAGTTCAAGTCAGATATCACTACAAAATGGATGGATACTGTTTGTCTGTTGGACACTGCAGCTGACGAGTGCCTTATAGGTTATAAAAATTTAAAAAAAATGTTTAATGAAAATTACATTAGAAAAAATATGAAACCATCTAAGAAAGTTTTATATAGTTTTGGAGGGCACAATATTCACATCCATGGTGAAATAGACCTATGGATAAAAGTCACCAATAAATTCAATTCCAGCCAGTATAAAGTAACATTCCAGGTAGTACACGCACCTCATATTCCATTGTTGTCATGCAAAGCTTGTGTGGACATGGGTTTGGTTCAATTTTGCAAAGAAGTCAAAAATAACTTTACAGAAACTGATCAAATCCTAAAGAGATATGAGTCTGTATTTGAAGGATATGGGTGTTTTGAAGGGGAGATAAATTTAGAAGTAGATACCAATGTGAAGCCTGTTATACAGAAGCCTCGCCGTATTCCTGTGAGTCTCCGCAAACCCCTGCAACAAGAATTAGCTAGATTAGAAAAGGAGGGCATAATAGAAAAGGAGGACATGTATACTGATTGGGTAAGCAATATCCTGTTAGTTAAGAAAAATGACAGCTTTAGAATTTGTTTAGACCCAATTCCTTTGAATAAAGCCATTAAAAGGCCTAACTACCAGTTTACTACAATTGATGAGATCTTGCCTGAACTAGGTAAAGCTAAGGTATTTTCTACCATGGATGTTAAAAAAGGCTTCTGGCATCTTAAGTTATCAAAAAACAGTAGTAAACTTACCACTTTTTGGACTCCTTTTGGAAAATATAGATGGAAAGTTCTACCCTTCGGTATTTCCTCATCTCCCGACTATTTTCAAATGAAAATGTTCAATGTCGTCCAGGGCTTACCGGGAATAGAATTATTAGCTGATGACATTTTAATTTATGGTGTAGGAGATACTATCTTAGAAGCTACTAGAAATCATAATCAAAACTTGGAAGGATTATTACAATGTTTACAAAAACATAATTGCAAATTAAATAAATCTAAAATGAATATTCTCCAGACTTCAGTCAAATACTATGGGCATGTGCTGACCAATCAAGGTCTACAGCCAGATCCAAGTAAGATTTCTGCAATCCAAAGTATACCAACTCCCACTAACAAAAAAGAATTGGAAATTTTCTTAGGCATGGTTACTTATTTGAGTAGATTTATTCCAAATTTAAGTTCTGAGACAGTCCATTTAAGACAATTAACTCATAAGGATAATAGTTGGTCTTGGAATGAGAGTGCTAATAAGGAATTTCATAAGTTGAAATCTATAATTGGTGACTTGCAAACTTTAAAATATTATGACCATAACAAATCTCTTGTAATAGAATGTGACGCCAGTGAACTTGCCTTAGGTGTAGCTATGTTTCAAGAAAATCAACCAATTGCTTATGCATCTAGAGTTCTTACGCCCACTGAAAGAAAATATGCGCAAATTGAGAAAGAACTCCTGTCAGTTGTTTTTGCTTGTACTAGGTTTGATCAATTTATAATAGGTAATTTGAAGACAGTCATTAAAACTGATCATAAACCTCTTCTTACAATTTTTAAAAAACCTTTGTTAAAAGCTCCCAAACGACTACAATCTATGTTATTGTTATTACAACGTTATAATATAGACCTAGAATTTGTTTCCGGGAAAGATAATGTTGTGGCGGATGCATTATCCAGGTTTCATTTTAAGAACACTGACACAATAGATAGAGATGCTAAGATTTTCAAAATTTTTGAAAGTGTCAACCCTATCCAAACCCTTCCAATTTCAGATAGTTGTCTTAGAGAAATAATAATGGTTACAAATACAGATAGAAACTATGCAAAACTAAAACATTTCATTCTCAATGGTTGGCCAAAATTTATTAGAGATGTGCCAGATGCTTTAAAATACTACTTTAGCTTCAAAGATGAACTAACAACTTATGAAAATTTAATATTAAAAGGACAAGCAATTCTCATACCTGAAGGTTTCCGTCAAAATATACTGCAAAAACTTCATAAAGGACACTCAGGCCTAGAAAATACTTTGTCTTTAGCTAGAGAGGCAATATTTTGGCCTACCTTAGCATCTGATGTAAAAGAAATGATTAAGAACTGTCATATATGTATAAAATATGCTCCAAGTCAACAGAGACTGCCCATGAAAAGTGTCAGTGTTCCAGAATATCCATTTCAAATAATCTCTATGGATGCTTTCTTCTTTACAGAAAATGGAAAACAACACAAGTATCTAATAACCATTGATCATTATTCAGATTTTTTTGAGATTGACCGTCTGAAGGACATGTCTGCTAAAACAGTCATTGACATATGCAAAAAGAATTTCGCTCGACATGGAGTACCAGAGGTGGTAATTACAGATGGAGGGACAAACTTCACTGGCCAGGAATTTACTCTTTTTTCACATAAATGGGGCTTCTCCCACAAAACCTCATCTCCCCATCATCCACAAGGTAATTCAAAGGCTGAAGCCACAGTAAAAATTGCTAAGAAATTACTGGTAAAAACAACAGAGAATAAAGAAGATTTTTGGTACAGCCTGCTATGCCTGAGAAACACACCTAATAAGCTAAAATCTAGTCCAGTGCAACGGCTTTTTTCAAGAAGGACCAGAGGAAATCTCCCCATGATACCAGAACTATTATATCCAAAGGTAGTACTCAATGTGGCTCAAGATATTACCTCAAATAAGGCAAGATCTAAACGCACATATGACAAAAGAGCAAAGAAACCTACCTTGTTATCCCTTGGTCAATCTGTGGCTGTACAACTTCAACCATCGGTCAATAAGGAATGGTCTTTGGGAACAATTGAGGACATTTTGTCTGATAGATCCTTTATTGTTAATGTAAACAATGTCAAATATAGAAGGAACCTATCCCACATTAGACCAACTCCAGAAATAATACAAAATAATGAAGATGAATCATTGGATGATGATATTGAATCTAATCAATACTTTAACAATAGATATGAAGAAGAATCATCAACATCAAAATCATTAGATTGTCAAGAATCATCAACATTAGAAAATTCAGAAACTGTTCAAAGTGCAGACAATATACGTACTCCCTCATTACCCAGGAGACATTCAGTACCACCTATTACTCCAAATAAAAATAATAATTCACCGACTATACAGACCTTACCTGACAGTCTTTGTACACCTAAAATAGTTCATAATGTTAGACCTAAGCGGACAATTAACAAACCTAAATATCTAGATGATTATGAATGTACATGATCTTTTAATTTTATTTCAGTTTATATCAGTCATAATCATATATGTCATAAACGTGTCTAAAACTTTAAATTTTATTATATGTTATTCTTATTTCAATAGAAAATTTAATTCCATTAC